GGGAGAAAGCTGACCCTGGAGCAGAGGGGTGACAGCCGGATCCAGCAGCAGCACGCTCCAACATGATCTTTGGTTCGGGGTGTGATAAACATTCCCTCTTCCAAACCAACGCTGAGGTAGCAGGGTCTGTGCAGGGCAGCTGCTGCAAACCGGCCAGATGAAGCTTTTCTGCCATCATGCAAGTGACAGCTTGCACCCACAAGTCTTCTGGTGGTGTGCACAGGGAGAGAGCTGTCCACACACACTTATCCCTAAGCAGAGGTGAGATGAAAGGCCAAGTCCGTCTCAATTAACACATCCAATTTGGTATTAGCTACTTTATCTGCTCTAGAGAGAGCCAGGGAAAACCCACAGGATCTCTTTCATATGTTAATCCGTTAGGGACCTAAAGGAGCAAGCAGCAGCCTGGAAACTGGTGTCTGTCTGTGTCTGGAGCCCCTGTGACGCAGGCAGGACCCTTTGCTACTCTGTTCTTCTGCCTGGAAAATGGACTAATTGGCCTGATTCGCCTCAGTGGGTAGGCAGTGGTTGACTGACAGCTACCAAGCAGTCTGAGTACCTTTGCAGCAAGGTGTGGATATACTGGTACCATTTTCAAATTGCCAGTATTAAAAGGGAAATCATGGCAAAGGATTATCAGAACAGAGCCCTGAGCCTGCAGAATGAGTTTGCATCCCATCTCTTCCCTCCCACTGTTGCGGTAACAAATCAGGTGTTGGAAGAAAGCTGCACTGGAACACAGCAGCGCTGAGGGACCAAATGGGATGTTTCACTGCATCAAGGCCCAGTAAGGTCCCCAGGCACTTCCAAATGCTTATAAAATATTCTAGGAGGGCAAGGCAGGTTTTGTAGGCTCACGCCTCCCAAAGGGCAACTGCTTGACTGGGTAAAGTCTCCTAACCACAAAGAGGGACTGTGTTGTGGTCTTTTAGAAAAAAGGCCAGAAGAATCTTTCACCTAGAGAGCTACCAGAAACAAACAAGAAAACGGCAAGCCCTCAACAGTTAAGAGGCACCCAGACTCAGTGGGTGTGTGCAAGGCAGGAGGGGTTTCAGGGATGAGCCCTGGTGTCACCCAGGAGGAGCATGCCGAGACCAGCCTATGCCTCCCTCCGTCTCCCTGTGCCTCCCCAGAGCCAGGGAAGGGTGCAGATGGCCACCGCACTCGTCCACGCACCCTCTGTCCGCACCTGGTGCTGCGGCTGCCCCTCGCTAATCCTTGATCCCCACCCCATGCCCACTCCTGTCTCTTCTCCTTCTCCCCCCGACCCCTGCCCTGTCCCAGCAACAACAAAGGGAAGGTTCTGGGGAGCCAGTGCCCTGCCTTCTGTCAGGCATACTCCACCAGACAATGCCCAATTCCAAAGGAAACAGAGCCACTTGGGTCCTGTGACCGGGGTCATGGGGGGGCTGAATACATCAACCACATGTGCAGCACCAACTGCTGAGCAGCCCTCTCGGAGGCGGGCGGTGCGGGCCTGAGGTCACCGGGGAGGCTCCGGCCATTTGTTCTAACTGTGGGAGAGCCTTTCACGCGTATCCAGTCTTGCCCTGTGATTTCCCTCTTCCCCGGGTGAGAGCGCTCTGCTTCACTCCCCGGCCCTGTGTCTCCAAAGGGAGTGCAAGCAAACTGAAGATGGCATCGGACTTCTGTACCTTCCTGATCTAAGGGAGGCAGCTAGAGCTTCAGATGAATGTGAAGCCACTCATTCCTGTTCCTCTACAGCTGGATCTTGATGACTCAAGCCAGTTACTAATACAATGAGCTTTCTGAGCTCCACGACCCCCATGATTCCTCCTCTGTCTATTTCCTTTGCAATCCTGGACTCCCTTGGAGACCACGGGCACAAAAACGACGACAGGTTTGAGGGCACTGAGACCAGCTCGGGATCAAGGAGTGAAATCTGTTCCTTGAGAGAGATGAAAGCAAGACCCTGAAGTATGCAGCTCCAGGATGCATTTTCACCTCCACAGGGTGTCGTGCAGCTAAGCCACACCTGGCCACCACTCACCTTGTCAGTCCTGTGGCTCTGAGGGCAAGAAGTTCAAGCCCAAGACTCCTGTGTCCCTTGCCCCAGCCTCACTCCCTTACTCAGAAGACTCAGATACCAGGAATACATGTTGCTGTCACCCTCTGAGAATGAAACGAACCTAGGTTCCCAAGGTGACTTTTGACCGCTAAAGCGGCTCTGACTCCAAAGCAAATACCAAGCCAGTTGCACTGATTATCACTTGGGAAAAAATGGAAATATGGGGAGTCAAGATTAGCAGGAGGAGCAAAATATACCCTTGCAAATCTAAATCAGACAGTAGAAAGAACCAGTGAAGTTAATTCTGGCTTTTAAAAGCTTTTACCTCCAAACACACAGAAGTTAATACAATTAGTGGATATGCTCAGCACAAGTTGTGTATGTAAATGTGTCCCTCGCCACAGGCTCACAAGCAGATTTGTTTATGTATTTTTAAGCCCTTGTTGAGCTCTTACAGTAAACCAAGTGCTTCCTGTACATTACTTCATTTAACCTGCATAACAGTCCTGGGAGGTAAGGACTATTTTATTGACTTTCTACAGGTGAGAAGACAGAGCGTGAAGAGAAAGTAAGAATTGCAGAGAATGTATGTGGCACAGCAGTGGTGGCCTTGGATGACTAGACTAGACTGCCTCGTGGGCACTCCCAAGGGTGGGGGGCTTGGCAAACCCTGGGAGGGCTCAGGGGCTGCCATGCCTCGAGGGGCACCCAGACAGCTCCATAAGGCCGCAGTACTGACGGCAAGGAGAGGAATGTACCTAGGTTGCAGGAGGTAGGGAGAACCATTCTTTCTTGGCAAAATCTATGATCAAAAAACATTAAAAACAGAATAAAAAACAATTCTGGCTGGTTTGAACCAAGATTAATGAGCTTTCAAGACACTGGAAGCTCTCCAGTTCACCATCAGCCTTTGTATTTCTCACCCCAGACTTTCTAGATGGAGCTCTACCCTTGACGTTCTAGGAGCCCATACTTCCAAAGCTGGCAGTGGTATTCTTCCTCAGTGTGGTGTACTTCACTTAGGACTGCAGCAGGCACAACCGCAGAGCCACCCCAGCAGAGGTAGATGGCTGGTCATCAATCTTGGTCACTAGCCACAGAGACCACTAGAATCTAGGAAATGGAAAGTCATCAAACTTCACGGGGAGAAAAACCCACCACTATTTAATCTAGTGATGCTGAGATAATTCCAGTTGTATTAAAAGCCAAGTCCATGCTTTTATTAACCCTCGATTAATCAGAATTCTTGATTAACTGGAGCCTGGCAGACTGCATTGAAAATAAGTTCATATCAAGACATTTAAAAAAAAAAAGAAAAGGCCTTTGTATATGTCCTAGGAGCAGTACAAATCTGACTACAAATCAAACCTCATTTGTCTACAATAACAGCTCAGTGGGAACTGATGGTCAAAATCAGGCCCTGAAGAATTTAAATGTTCAGAATCATTACAGAAAGAAGAAAGATGAAATCGTATCAAGACAGAACAGTATGATCATATGGAAGGACTGTCTGACAGCACAGGCTGAAACAAAAAGGGGTTTTCTATTTGCCCCTGTGCTACCCACAAAGCCCAGGAAACCAAAGTGGGTCCATCCAGGGTCCTCCAGGAGCCCTGGGGTCACTACTTAACCGATGCCCATTCCACAGCTGGTCACGGCTGCCCTGCTCAGACTCAGAGCAGGCACCGCCTGATGGTGAGGTGTTCAATGCCAATGTGTGGTGAAGCTGAAGGCACAGGAGTCCGTTAAATAATAGGCACCGCCTGATGGTGAGGTGTTCAATGCCAATGTGTGGTGAAGCTGAAGGCACAGGAGTCCGTTAAATAAAAGTGTCACATACAAAGTGGGGTTCATGCCACGGGTTCTTGGAACCACTGACAGATCGAACCATCTGATAATGAGATCCATCTGGGACTTTAATAGCTAACCTCTTTTACTTGGATAACAACCACAAATAGGATCTATCTTTTGCCAGATCTCACTTTTTGGCAGAAAGCTTCCAATGAGCTTATTTAATTTTAGTAGCAGAAACCACAGTAAAGACCCTGAAGGACACATGCTACACACCTGCTGGGTGACAGTGAGCTCACCAGCATGGGTGCGGCCGGGGATCAGGCAAAGAGCAGAGACAGGATGTTATTTTATTACTGGGCATAAAGAATTCTCTCCACTGCCTAGGCCTGTTGGGAGAATAATGAATTGTTGCAGAAGGAAAGCAGCAATCATTCAATTAATTCACTCAACAACCACTGACTGCTGGTCTGCTGGGCGCCAGGACTGCCCTGTCCCTGGGAGTTCACTGCAACCACGACTCCACCGGGGCTGTGGATGGGCTGAAGCAGGATGGCCTTCAGCGCTCCCTGGACAGACGGTTCACCTGGACTGACAGCAAGCTCAGACTCCTGTGCTACTTACTGGTTTGCTCTACTTGGACGTGTACAAAAAGTGGGGCTCTCGGGGAAAACGAGCAAGCACAGGCGGCCCCTCATCCCATGACCAGAAGCTGCCAGGCAGGGCCCGGGTCTTCAAAGGCTGTCACCACATGAAAGACCTTGATGTAGAGTTAAAGACACTAGTCTTTGAAACACCCAAATTTACCCCATTTCCATGCTAGGGTTATTTATCTAAGGAGTATGCCACCAAGACAAAGGGCTTCTAGATAGACCTGACTAGACGAGAAGCCATGACTTCCCCAGTCCAACAATGACACAAGATGTGAAGGGTGACTGGCCCTATGGCCCCATGACATGCTCTTCAGAAGAGGCAGCCTTCTGGACCACTGGAGGCTGGTCTGGCCCCAGGGCGGATGCCTGCTCTCAGACCAAGGCATGCTGCGGCCAGTACACCCAGGCGCCACCTGCCCTCAGGAGGGTTGGGTGTGGCCCAGGGACGGAGACAGGCAAGCTCATGCAGGGGTTAGTATCGGAGGGCAGGGCCATCACCACATACAGAGTACCTGCGAATAACCTACTTTGAGGGCTCAAATGCAGATAGGTCTTCTGCCTTGGGCTTGAGGCTAAACCAGCAAAATAAAATGAAGAAAAACAAAAAACATACCCTGTGATATCAACAATGCCACATGTGCCACTTGTAAAATGCTCAGATGGGCCTGAAATTGGGACAAGTGATTTCGTTTGTTTTTATGACTTGACACAGGTCTCTCCAGCTTCCAGCACTCCAGCGTCCCAAGGCCGAGGGTCCAGCCCATGGCAGCCACAGCACGACAGGAGCACCCTAGGCGCCCAGATGAGGATGCAGGGCGGCCGGGGCCCAGGCAGCTCCCTCCAGGGATGACGCTCACTGGCCCGGGCGTCATTACGCCTCTCTGCTCACTTTAGCTCCCCTGTTGCTCACTGTTCAATAATTTGGTTTGGGAATGGAATCCCAGGAAATTACGGAAGCCAAAGGAAAGAGGAATGTGGAACTTGGAAAGGTCTTTCCCTCAGGTTATGCTACTAAAAGGAATTATCCACCCGCTGCCAATACTAACCGGAGTCGGGAGGATTCGGGGCTCCCGAATGCACCCATCAACCACGGCAGATAGATACAGACCTCGTGGAGTTTTTAGACACAGCTTAGCCACTGAAAACAGGTATTCCTTAACCTGGGAGACCACTTTAAAGACTAAGGTAAAGAAGAAAAAATTAAACTATCATTATCTAAACTCAACAGTCTTTTGTGATGACACCTATTTTACAGGTGTTACCTGATCCTGAGCTTTCGGTTAGGAACTGACCTCAGTTGGCAAGAAGGCCCTTTCCACTTTGCCCAGCGTAAGAGAATGACACGCTTGGGCTGATGTTTACAGTGGAATTTAACTTCCTCTAAAATGCTGAAAGTTCAGTGGAGGAAGATATGAAACTGTCAGTAACATAAATGAAGTCTCATCTTTTGAAACATTAAGGTTCTTCTTTCCTTTTAAGTATGAAAAAAATTTAAAAATTCAGAATTTAGTTTCTAAATCAAGAACTGAATTTTAGAGTGCCTGCCACTCAAAAACACAAAAAGACTAGAGGGAGAGTCCATTCTCAGCAGCCTCGTTTCATTTTGCTTTCTCATTAATAAGGCAGCCCCCCGGGCACACCTTCCCTTGGCTTCACAGACTGAATTGCTTTACTGCTAAATGATGGATCAAAACCCACCCTGTAACTGATTCATTTCATCAGAGCTTTTAATACAGGCCCCCTGTCCGTCAAGCCAGTAGGTCCACAGACCCTGGCCAACTAAATTCCCTTTCTGGAGTGAGCCAAAAAATGTCCTCAACTAAGTACATATGAAAAATGACACATCTCACGACTTGGCTACCGAGGAAACCAGATGCCAGCCTCACATTTCATGAGTGACTGTCCTGTCAGCAGAAGCCGAGGGGCCAGGTACCTTTCTCATGGTGCTGTGCTTGCTGCCGGCGCCACCCCGCTCAGAGCTCTCGTGTAGGGCGTCCAAGGCCGTCTCCCTCTCTTTGAGCTTCAGGGCCTCGATCTCCGTCTTGAGCTCGTTGAGCTGCTCCTGCAGGTGCTTGCTCTTCTCCATGTACTCCACTCTGCGGCAGAGGGCACCGTGTGTCAGGGCTCTGGCAGACAGGGAGTCCGCTCAGGGCCAAGATGCTCCAGACCCCCAGGTGGCTCAGCGCGGGACGTAGGGCCTGAAGCCTGGGGCTCACGTCTCTCCTTGGGCACTCGCGGCTGTGGGAGCTCAGGCCAGTTACTTAGCTGGTCTAATCTGTTTCCTTGTCCATAAAATTGGGATAATGATCACAGGGCTGTGGTCAGGATTAAATAAAAGACAGTGTAGGAAAGCTCTCTACAAGCTCTCATAAAGGGCTCTACAAATAGACAGCTTTTAATTCTGTACAAAAAACAACACATGAATCAAGACTCCTGGCAACCAAAACAATTCCTTGTCTCAATCCTTTTCAGAGAAGCAATTCCTGTCAAGTGGTCTCTTCTGATAGGCGGTGGCTGCAGCCCTACTGGTTTTGGTTTGTCATCTAAAGATGACAGAAGCTCTCTCACCAACACCAGAAAGAAAAATATCTCCACTGTCACCTACAGGTAGATACACTGTGTCTATGCTGATGAAAATCTGGAAACCATTCTCAAACTGTCCAACTACAAGGGCACAACTGGGTAAACCGTCGACACAAATACCAAGGAACATGCTGTAGTGATTCCCATGGCCAGTGTATGGACTCTGTCGACATCTGCATGGGCAGTAAGAAAATACAAACTAAAAAAGCAGGACACAGAAGAGGACGTAGTCTCACCCTGATCGCCACCACGTAACACCTGGTGTGCTAGACGATGTGAGAGGCTGGAAGGGGAACTCGGCAAATACCACAGAGATACTCTCAGTATAAGAGCCCAAAGGGACACAGCCCAGCTCATAGTTGCTAACTCTGGGCTCCAAGCAGACACTGTCTAGGGAGGGTCATCCTGATGGAGCTGCACAAGGTGAAAGCACGAAGGCTCAGACCGCTCAGAGCTGAATCCTGGTTCTGTCCCTCATCAGCTGTGTGATGCTGGATGAGTTCATTAAATGCTCTAAGTCTGGGTTCTCATTTATAAATGGGAACACTAAAACCTACCTTTGATGTCAGTTTGATTACTTAGTGGGAATAAAATGAGATAAAAGCTAAATAACCCTGGCACCCAGGCAGGCAGTGCACGGCACGGTGGCTATTGTGGTGGTTCTCTGTGAAACTGCTGCACAGTTGGACAATTTACTGACAGCTGGGGATGAGGGCATCTTGGTTAGATTTCCTCTGCAGTGGGATGCTTTCCACCCCAGACCCACTTCCACTGACCATAAGATGCAGGAGGACAGGCAGCAGAAGCTGCTGTGAACAGGGTGTGCGGGGGCTCAGCCCCATGCAGCCCCATGCAGCAGGGCCGCCCTGACCTGGAGAGACGTTTCCTCTCCCTCACCCTCGTTCCAGACGTGGGAACTGCTGCAGATCTTGGCCGCCAGAAAACACAACTAGGCAACACATTGTCTCACTGTGTTAGAACAGTAGCACATGCTCTACTACCATGTGAACGGCAGTCTGCCTGACTTGGAGATCCCTGACCACCGGTCCTGTATTTAGGCGAGGTTTTGAGCCACTATAAACTCTGGTCACCAATGAAGTACCATTCTTATCCTGGAAGATTGAATGCTGGTCTGTTATCCTTCATTTCTGATTAGGAAGTTCTTCCTCCAGTGGGTGAGAGCACAGCAAACCTTTGTGGGAGCTCGCGACAGGCTGCTTCGGCCACCCTCCACTTTCCCCAGGCCCCCATCGACTCATTCTCGTTCACTGGCTGCCCAGGCAGGGACAGGCATGGAGGGGGCTACATACTTTTCTTTCTCTATCTCCATGGAAAGCCGCTTCATGTCAGTATCCTTGAAGTCGAAAGACAGGCTGTCACCAATGAGGTTGAAACTTGGTATGTCAGGAGGCGGTGGTGCTGGAATTGGGTTCATGGGCTGTGAATGAGAAGTCTCTGATTAGGAGGTCAGGTTAAGAACAGGGTGGCACCACTGTATTAACCGCTGACCCCCAGCAGCCACACAGGCAGTGGGTACAACTCAGGCCCTGGTTCCTGGCATGACCACACCTCACAACTGTCACCCATCTCTGCTCACTTCAATCTTCCCACACTTACTGCTGCCAGGTGATCTGCCCCAAATACCTTAAAACCAGGCAAGTCACTCCTCTAGCCTCAAACCTTTAAACATTTTTCATGCTCAGCCATATTAAACCCCCACATACTTCTTCATTGAGGAAACACCCAAGCCCTGTGCTAAGAGGTGGAGACTCAGAGAATAAGACAGGGTTCCTGGCTGTGCAAGTGGCAAGTGTTGCTTGGTAAACAGGTGCATTCATAGATTATCACAGTTAAATATGGTAAACACCAGCCAGGGAGCAGACAGAGGCTGGAGGGGTTGGTGAAGGTGTGCTAGGAGAAAAGCTGCTTCCACTGGCAACAGAGAATGTGCCAGAGGAGCAGGCTTGCCAAGCAAGAGGCATGACACTGGGCAGGGCAGAGTGCTCAGCAAGAATGCAGGGTGTCCGCAGTGCCAGTGTGGGGAGGCAGGTCGCGGGCTGGGGCCAGACTGTAAGGAGCTCCCCTGCATGCTGCAGGGCCAGGATTCAGAAGATGGAGCCAGAGGAGGGCTTGCAGAAGAGGGTGAAGAAGTTAGGTTTGTTTAGAGGACTTTCCCATCATCCCAGAGCAAAGAGTCATCTAAACTATGGGCCCAACTACTTCTCCGACTTCTCCTGCCATCTGACCTACAAAATTGTAAATGGTTTTATTATCCGAAGGAACACTTTGCTTTCCTGTATGTGTTCCTTCGTTTAAGCCATTCCTCCTCTCCATACCCCATCTCACTTTCAAGGCCCTTCTCAAATACCACCATTTTTCACCAAAGCCTTCTAGATCCCTCTGGGCCAGATGGCAGCTCCTTTCCTTGCTGTGCACTAACACTGCGCTGGTTCTGTGTGGCACTTCTCCAACTCTACCTCACAAAAGACCTCTTTTGGCTCTGTCTTCTTTCTACTGTTGGCAAGTTTCCTGGGGGAAGGATCTGCCTGTGTTTCATCCTTGGATCCGTTACTGAGTCTAGGACAGTGTCTGGGGAAGAGCAGAGGCTCGGAGCATTCATCTGAGGTGATACCAAAGCCTGAGGCAGACTGTCTGCCTGGGTATCAACGGCTGTGCTGAGAAAGGGCTTCTGGGGTACTAGAACATTCTGTTTTCTGATTTGAGTGCTGGGCACATAGGTGTATTGAGTTTGTGAAAATTCAGCGGGCTGTGCAGTTACAATTTGGGCCCTTCTCTGTATGGGTGCTATACTTCATAAAAACTTCCACAAAGATGAGTGTAGGACGCTGCACAGCCGGTGAGAGCACACGCCGGCCCAGCCTCTGTGGAGACCACCCAAATGGAAAACATGACCCCACTGTCTAGTGATGAGAATTGGCAGAAAAATTCTACTAATACGTCCACATGTGTGTACAGAGATTTGTGTCCATGGATGTTCTGTGTAGTCCTATTCATAACTGTAACAGAAAACAGGCTAAATGCCCATCCTCAGAGACCTGGTTAGATGAATTACAATCCATCCAGATGACAGAAAGGGATGATAAAGCTGATATGATCTCCTCCAGGACTTACTTATGTATTGATTGTTAGATGAGTGTATAGCGTTGCTCCAATGCAAGTTTTAAAAACATGCACACATCTCGGGTGTCCCACCCAAGATGAGCGCCTGGAAACAGCAGCCCCAGGGCCGTCTGCCTACACCCACCTTGGAGATACCAAAGAGGGGCCAGTGGCGCACCAACCCACAGAGCCATGGGGGAGCACAGCGAATGGCTGCTGCATGGCCAGCTTGGGGTGGCTTGTCACACAGTAATAGATAATCAGAACAGATGACGACAGCAAACAGCTCTCATCTCCCTCCACCCCAAACCCTGGGCAGCTCGTGCCTCTGCGCCCCATGCATCTTTCTGCCTCATGCCTGTCTGCACCATGTGTGTAACTGTGCGGTGTGTGCATTTGTGCAGTGTATGCATCTGTGCACTTGCCTAGCATAACCTATCTTCTCTTCCCCACCTGAGCAGCTCCTGCCCCTCCAGGCTGGGCTAGGCTCTCCTCTAGGCACCTGTGCACTGTCAGTATACAGATTCCATATCTACCTGATTATATGGAACAGAACAGGTGTGCAAAACAGTTTGCTGAACAATCACAATGTAGGCAGGTCAGGGAGAAGACAGTGCAGCACGGAGAAGACAAGTAATGACACTACTGATGGACAGTACTAGATCTATCTACTGATAGACATTATTATGCTGACGGACAGTGACTGCAATGGGGGGGATGAGGACTTCATAATATGGGCGAATGTTGAAACCACAATGTTGTTCATGTGAAACCTTCATAAGATTGTGTATCAATGATACTTTAATAAAAAAATAAAAGAAGTTTGCTGAACAGAATATACAGAGGTAAGGAAGGGAAGAGGCTTTCTATTCATTTTGTGACCCAATTTAATTGAAGTCTGGCCCCTTGTCCCAAAATTAACTTTTGAAGCTGGTTTGTACATGGCAGTAGTTCACTCTGAGGTATCTGGGTATCCCTGCCCAGAACTACAACTGCCCATACCAACAATAATGTATGTTACACACCAGTAGTTAAAGATTAAATTCAACTTGGCATTAAGAAGCTAGAGAGCAAATTGTCTTCAGGGCATTACTTGGAATAAGAAAAATATTTCAGAGTTGGAAAAGGCCCTGTTGTGTGCTACCCAGGCAACCAGAGGGGTGACTGACTAGTCCAAGGTCAAACGGCACACCAGGCATTCTACCCCATCCCTGACCACAGGCTCTCCACACCACTTGTTTGCCATCTGTGGGCTTCAACAGCCACTCTGAAGGCACTGCCAGGTGACCAAAGGGCTGGGAGGGAGGGAAGGTAAGGTTGCCAGGTCTGAGCAGCCTCAGGCTGGCAGCCCCCACAGGCTGGCAGCCCCCATCCAGGCTCACCGGGTATGTGGGCTTGGTGGTGATTTCCAGGAGCTTCTGCTTGGCTCTGCGCTCTGCCTCCCGGGCTTCCTGCAGGTCCTGCTTTAGCTGATCAGCCTCCTTGGCCCTGTGAGGAAAGGAGGAGCATCAGCTGCACGGAAGATGACAGGTGGGGGAAAGAGACCCTCCTCCACATGGACTCCTCCGGAGAGGAGGTTCCTGGGTTAACCCCGAGGATGGTACCAGCTCAGGCAGGCAAAGATGGGGGAGGGCTGCGGGGGCTTTTCCAAGGCAAGGACAACATTCCTGGGTATTGTTCATTTCAACTGGTAAATCTAAACCGGAAGAACAGGGAAGCCTGCAGGGAAGAGTCAAGGAGGAGCCTCTGCTTTGCTTTTAGGTGAGGGAGGGCTGGGCAAAGAGGAGCTCAGGAGATCAAAGGTCTCATATTGGATCACAATGGGCAGGGTGTGAAAGGCCTGATTCCTTACAGGCCTGCCGTGTAACAACCGTGCCTCAACAGGAAAAAAAGCACCGTCACGGAGGGCCTAATGCCTTGGTGCAGGTCTCAGCCCTGCAGGACACAGGATCCGGGGCACCGCACTGAACACACATCCCTCACAGGGGAAGTCGCCTACACACAGACAGGGCAGGAAACAAAGGAATCAAATACCCAGAAAGACACGGGGAAAGTGGAGGGGAAAACACCTTGCTTGCAAAGCCAAATTCAAGTGCTCCATGTCAACAGAGCCAAATGCTGTGGGGATCGTTCCAGGGTTTATCTGAAGCCTGCAGAACCAGAGCAATCCAGTCTAGAACAGTTTTAGAAAAGTACAGATAACAGTTCCGTCCTTCAACCTGGTGGTGAGCTGGGGTGTCCTGGCCCTGGAGAGGATCGTGGCCCTTCCCTCCCATCTGCCTCAGGAGTCCTAGCACCAAGGAAGGGCTGCAGGGAAGTGGGTGCCTATAATAGCTGCAGTCTCCCCACAGGCCCCCTAAGTAAAAAGGGAAAAGAAACCACATTTTTTGAATGTAAGAAGAACCTCCTCACATCTCCTCAGCTAAGAGCAGTCTGTCGATATGCTCGATGGTTTTCCTGTAAACACAGCTATTAGAGGGATGGGGCCTTATCACAAAGGCCCATGACCACAAAAGCATGACCAGAGGCCCATTTGACAAGCCCACTTCTGCTAGCTCCGGCCCCAAAACAGGATTAATCATCAGTCTCCCCAACCTATTAAGGGAGGAGCCTCCCCCCATCCCAGATGATGGCGGGGTGGCTGGAGGACAGCCGCAGTGAGCGCTGCCTCAGGACAGGCTTAGACAGAGCAGCCCCTCACCTGCACCCCAGGGCCTAGGACCCCCACCCGCCGCCTCTGACCTCCTCTCTGACTCCTCAGCCATCTTCAGGGCCAGCACCTCGGCCTCCAGCACCTTCTGCTCCATCAGGCGCTTCTCTTCCTCTGTCCGGATGGCTGTGGCCTTGATGCGCTGCATTTCCTGTTCGGCCTCGGCAGCCTTCTGCGCCAGGAGTTTTGCCTCCTCCTCAGTAATTTGGGCCTTTTCTGCCAACAGGTCAGCCGTCTCCTCAGACCGCATCTGGAGAAGGGCACTGTCAGCCAGAACGGGGGTCGTGGGCCTGTCATCCCACCCAGCTCCGGCTTCGGACACTCTGGCCAGCAAGCACCAGAATCTTGGACTCTGTGGGTCCTTAGGCCTTGCCCCCGAGCGTCCCCTCAGATGACAGCTCTGGCAGCAGAGGACACGCCACACCCCTCAACTTTTCAGAAGGGCCCTTCAGGTTTCATCCTTGGGGAGCAACAAGAAAGCACCTCTGCTGAGGACCCGCTGGAGCCGAGGCATATGCTTTATGAGGGAGACAAACAACTTCCCTCTTTTCTTTCTCTTTAAATCAGTGGTTTGAAACCAGTGGAGATTTTGCCCCCTAGGAGACACGTAACAATGTCCGGAGACACTTTTGACTGTCGAAAAGAAGAGATGGTGCTACTGGCATCTAGTGGGTAGAGGCCAGGGACACTGCTGAACGTCCTTCCATGCCCAGGAGGGTCCCCCCACAAAGGAGGGTCTGGCCCCCGAGTCAGCAGTGCTGAGGCTCAGACAGCCTGCTTTAAGGACGAGCCCCAGAAAGAGCAGAGTTCAGCGGATGTGAACTCAACCTGCTTGAGATCTGCTTCTGCCAACACAGGTAGAAAGAAAAGGCAGTGACTGTTCTTTTTAAGCGTAAATGTCAAAGCAAATGTTGCTCAGGTGTGGTCCCCCGGGACCCGGGTCCCCAGAATCACCAGGGCTTCGTTGGCCATGGTCGCCTCCTCTTTCATCTGCAGCAGCCTCCTCTCCAGCTCGTCCCTTGTGCGTTCGGCCTCCTCCCTCATCTGCTTCTCCCGAGCCAGGCGCTGCCGCTCCATCTGGGGGGACAAGAGCTGCTGCTGAGTCATGGGGCTCATGACCTGGGGTGCCACAGGGATCCCGGAACGCCCAGCAGCCAGTGGCCCCACTGGAGGCCCCTTTCTTCCTGTTACTTTAGGGAGCAAGAGTCATTCTTGTGCCCACCACCCTCGGTCCTCCTAAATCAGCTGGAGAATTGAAAGCAGTGTCCCTGAAACACATCTAAAGGTGAAGGGACAAACCACAAAGACCCAAGCCCTGCCGGGCGTCCGCCTGGATGGAAGGAGGCATCCTCACACACAGGGTGCCGAAGCAGCTGCCCTGCCAGTATCCCCTCTTGTTGGCAGGCCTCATGTGGCTCTGCCCTGTGGCTGACAGGACACGATGCAGGTCCCCCCTGAGATGGAGCCCCAGAAACAGCCAGCTTCCACCTGGCTGGACAATCCATCTTGCCTTTTTTAATCCACATAGACCCCTCCCACATCTCCAGTTTCATCAACAATAGTCCTTCCTCTGACCCATGGAGATGGAGTGGTTCTGTGTGGCCCATCAATAGTTCACACATTGTGTTGCACAGGGGGAAGCTGCAGTGGCCTCAACACAGCCTCACAGAGCCTCACATGCAGGCAGCTCCTGAGCCAGGCCTGTGACAGGAGGGAGCCAGGCAGGGAACACAGCTGCCCATCCTTAAGGCACCAGTACAAAGCCACCGCCACCTCCCTTGCCTTCTGGAGCACTATATTAATTGGGCCACATGCTGAGCTTAATAAGGGGAACAAGTACAGGACAAGTGCTATTCTCTGTGATCCTAGGGTTCTAACTGAGCTCAGAAAGCAGAAGCCAGAAGTGACCACTGCACTATTTTCTTCCTTAAATAATTAAAGCACATTGGATTGCTTTTTGCTTCAATCTTCTCCCAAACACAAGATTACTAAGACTGCTGCTTTTTCTCAATACCAAGCCAAAAAAATGCATTAGGCCTCGAAGGAATAATGCAGAGACAAGCAATAAAATACTGTAAATCCTTCTCCAATTTTCTTCTCGCAAGCCAGTGAAAGGCTTGGCTCCAAGGTGTTCTCTAATTTGCATCATATCGCAATTTCCATTAGGTGGGTCACTACCTTCCATTAGTGTCCACCGAGAAAAGCCCAGACAATCCCCTTTTGTTCCTAGCACCACACTTTCCTTGAGACCTCTACCCTCATAAGGACCTCCTATTTGTAAAGTGGTTTAAGCTTACAAAGCCTTTCAGAGACAATGTGTCCTCTGATCTGAGACAAGAGGTATTATTAGCTCCACTTAACAGATGAGAAAACCGAGGTCTGGAAGATAAAGTCACTTACTAACATCACATACTTAGTTCCCCATCTGGCTCCAAGGCCAGTGTCTGTGCTACTGGGCCATGCAGCCTTGAACCTGCAGATGCCAGATGCCAGGCATCTGCTTCTATAGGCCATGAATTTCTGGGGTGTGTTCACGCTCTTCTCTGCACAGTCCTGAGGACTACATGCCCCTTGCCATTTTCAGATCTCTCACATCTAAGCTTGGCCTGCTGAAAAAAGGTCAAAGAAGGCTCTTCTTGAAGTTGCCAGTATGACCCCATGCTGGCTCAGAAGCACTTCTTTGTCCAACAAAGCGCATGGGTATCGCCCTACCAAAAGCACCTCTATGGCCCAGCCATCTCAGAAAGCAAAGAGAAGGGGAGCTGGAAGCACACTGCTTCAAACTAGCTGTGTCAGTCTAAATCTCGGCCTCACAGGAGTACCCAAGTCCGAGATCTGCCCACAGACTAGTGATTACACCCGAGCTGGCAAGTCCTGAAGGCAGGTGACTGCAGCGCTGCTACACAACCTAGTAGCTTGTCCAAAACCACACCTGATGTTCTCAGCAGCGAGGCTCAGATTAGATGGGTGGATTTCGGTGAGTGGAAAGGGTCTATGAGTAGAAAACAGTGATGCAGACCATCCAGTCTACAGATTCGTGTCCCTAGCACCTCCCACTGCGGGTGAAGTGTCGCCCGGGTGACAAGCAGTGGGGAACTACCGCCAGAGTCTAATTAGCATTCCAGCAGCAAGCACCGAAATGCGGCCATGCACTCCATCATCATCTAATTAGAAAAGAAGAAGGCTGGGCAAAGGAGACAGGTAGGCAGCAAGCAAGCTAGCTAGATGGACGGAGAGGTGGCTGGGTGGGTGGCTGTGTGGACGCAAGCTTGGCTCTCTCTTCCCTAGCCTCCATTAATCACACTTTACTTATTTCATTTAGGTGGAGAAATAACTAGAAACCTTTTTTTCAGATATGCTATTAGAGTTTATTCCTCATTTCCAGGGCTGACACCCCACCAGCTGGGCATCAGCTGGTAAAGATCCAGAGGGATAAAATATGAGCAGGTGTGTCCATGGCCAACGAGTCCTGCCAGCTCACGACCCTCCTTACCACGAAGGAGCAGCAGTGGTGGTCCACACGCAGTCCTGCTCACCTGCTTTCTAGCCTTCTCCTCCCTGGCCTGGGCTTTCATCTGCTGAACCTCCAGAGAATCGGCCTTCCTTCTCCTCATAAAAAGGTCATGGTTCCCGATGCACAGCTGCAGAATCTGTGGCCACAGAAGCAGGAGACATGGTAAGCCCACAAACGTACTCCACTGCCTACCAGCTCACTGGTGCTGTAGCATCTTGGTCTGAGGGTCTTGGGGGAAGCAGGAAATCTGAAGAGGGGAGCATGGAGTGAATCATCAAAGCCTCCCAATGGTCTCCAGTGCTCTCGGCCCTGGACCCAGGCCAAACAAGCTGGGGGCAAAAATCCCAGGGAAGAGAACCGGCGACATTTCGGCATGTCTTCTGGGTGCACCTCGTCCTCCTAGGTTAAGATGTGGCTCTGCAGGTCTGGGAGCACAGGAAAGATGCCTCGATCGGGTGGGCTGGGAGAGCAGGCTATTTGTGTGGCAAAAGCAAGCTGGATCCCTCCCTCACACCACACACAAAAACTGGCTCCAGAAGGATTACAGACTTACACGCGAAGATCAAGCCCTTGAAATTTTTAGAAGAGAATACAGAAGAACATCTTTATGATCATAGGATAAAGAAAGGAGTTAAGCAGGACACGAACAGCAAAAATGAGAAAGGAGAAGATGGAGGGTTTGTCTTTGTTAAAGTTAAATGTTTTTCATTTAAGACATTATTTTAAAAAGAGGAAAAAAGAAAGCCATAAACTAGGAGAAGATATAACCAATAAAGACAATAAACTACTCAGAGAAAATGGCCAAAAGACATGAAACAAGTATTTGACGGAAGAGACAATAAGATTGGCCAATAAATATACAAAAAACGTTCAGCCTCATTAGTAAATATAAAGATGCAAATTAACATGATGCTGAGATGTCATTTTGCATGCATTAACAAAAAATTTAAAAGGCTGAAAATACAAGTGTTGAGAATATAAAGCAACAGGAAGTCTCACCCACCACTACTGGAGCTATAAATTAATTCACCTTTCTTAGGAAACCACATGGCATGATCTTGAATTTGGACATACACTACAGCCCTGAACTTGTACTCCTAAGTATATACTCTGGACACTAGAGAAACTATTGCCCAGGTCACCAGAAGGCAGGTATGAGACTGTTCATAACAGCCTTGCTAAAATGGCACAGCAGTGAAAAGCACTTAATTGTCCATTGATAGGAGAATGAAAAAAATACACATGTATACATACATGCAATGGAATACTATATACCCATGAAAATGAAGGATCTTATCTTCAAGCATCAACAGAGATAAATTTCAAAAAATAATGTGTAAAAAAAGTGACATAAGAACACAGTTGACAGCACTTACGTAAATTTCAAAAATACTCAAAACTCAGTAATGTATTCATTTTGCCATATGTGAAATAAAGTTCTGATGAAAAGTGAGGCAATAATCAGCACACAGCTCAGAACAGTGACTTCCCTGGGGGAGGAGCCAGGGAGAGACGACCAAGATGCCAACATGAGCAGTTTTGGCAGCACTGGGGATGAAGGCACTATTTTCTACAGCTGGGCAGTGGGTACATAGCTCTTTATTTTTGTTATTCTTTATATTATACATACACATTTTATGTAGCCTCTGTATGTACAGTTGACCCTTGAACATGGGCTTGAACAGCATGTTCACTTACACGTGGACATTTTTCAATTAATACACTGGAAAGTTTTTTGGAGATTTGCAACAATTTGAAAAAACATTGTCTTTTCTCTAGCTTACTTTATTGTAACAATATGGTACATAATACATATACAAAATCTGTGTCAATCAACTGTTTATGTTATCAATAAGTCTCTGGTCAACAGTAGGCTATTAGTAGTTAAGTTTTGGGGAGTCAAAAATTATATGTGGATTTTTGACTGTGCATGGGGAGTCTGTGTCCCTAACCCTTATACTGTTCAAGGGTCAGCTGTATAAAGTATTTCAATAAAAATAATTTTAAAAAATTCCTTATCACAAAATTTAGGTTTGACTCTTCAGGTCAAGATAAAGGGAAGAGTCCAGGCCTACCTGACTGTGTGTACCAAGCGAACTATCATTGTACACCCCCAACATGTCACTCTGATACTATTTCCAAATGGGCATTCAATTTCTTAGAAAAACTATAGCTATCGATAATAAAAATGAGGATCTCAACTTACCAGCTTATTAACCCGAAGTTTTGAGGAGTTAAATTTGAAGACATCAATTTTCTTATCTAACGGTTTAATAGTAAACTGAAAGAAGCAGAAAACAGTTTCAGTCTGGCAGCCTAGAATGTCCCCACCACCTGGGAAATTCCGCAGAACGGCAACCACGCTGGCAAGGATCCAGCATAAGTCCGGGCCTTGTCCTGCTTCCTGGTGCCCGGGTACCACACCACAGTGAGTTGTTAAGCATCTGTGGACACTACGTCTGGGGCTATGGAAGTTCACAATCCTGGAAGGCATGCTCTCGGCACTATCTCAGGCTTGGAAACTGGAAAAATGGGTCCAACCTTGAGGCCAACACTGGCCACTGCAGTCTACAGAATCGCTCTGCCTTCAGGAAGCTTACAACTTAGCTGGAACTAGACTAACAACAGTCAGTGACTCAGAAAATGACATCACATATTAGCGCCTCACAGAGGTTCTAGGGGGTTGAAAGTAGATCCACCTTAAGTTGGGGGGGACTTATGCTGGTCTCGGACAAAGACTATGTCAGATAAGCTAAAAGGTAGGATGGGAGGGCATACTGGCCAGGGCGAGAAATAGGGGGAAATGAGCACTGTGCACGTGTGTGTTTGACGTCACTGGCTCCTTGGTGACTACACTGATACCATGGGTTCTGACTGGGAGGAAGGCGGCGGTGGGCTGGCGGTGGTCAGGGGGGCTCGAGTTGGTGTAGGTTTGATGTGACAGCAAACAGATCATCACTACTGGTTCCTTAACATGGGGATTATCAGAAGAAAGTTGTTAATAAAAGGAAGAAAGCATGAAGAAAAGGAACTGTAGTAGAAGAAAACATAGTTTCTGAAATCAAAGGGGAGAGAAAGAGGAATAATAAGGGACAGCTTAGAGAACAAGGCCACACCACTAGACAGGGAAGCGTATAAAGAACAAATGGCAACTGCTATTCCAGCCTTTCCCAGATTTCAAAGAGGCACTTAAATACGGATAGTGATTCCCAGGGAGGACTTGCTAAGCAGATAAACACATTTGGGAAGACGTTTTCTTGGGTATTCTTTTCACATCACACTGCTCAACAAGGCACTAGCACACTGAGGACAGAAAGAGATCCTTTGTTTAGCTTCTGGCCAAGTTAACTTAGAAGCAGTATTGCTCCTGAGCAGGCTATTTGTGAATTTCATGAGCTTTTTTTTGGCCTTGCTGTCCAACCCCAGCGCTGTTGGTGGGACACCACAAGCAGAGGGGAAACCACGGGGTCTGTGCCATGCAGGGTGTGCATGGAGAATCAATGGATCACTTAAAATGAACCCACATTTCTGTTTTGACAGCACGGCTGTCATGCATAACTACCGAGACTGCTTCCTGTTATGTTGAGTCAACTTGGAGTCCTCTTACTGCCCGAGTTATTGACATGATGGAACATGATGGTGCCCCACCCCTGGAGAAAGTGTATTAGAGCTCACTGTGTCAGGCCATACTAGAGAAGACTTTAATCCTCAGGTTCTGTGAAGAACAAGTGTTTTGGGGGCCTTTAGCACACAAATGTGTGGATATACAGTAAACAGACTTTATGAAATTAGAGATGAAAAACTACTGTATTGCAGCACACCTACTGCTTTAAGTCTTGTGGAGCTTTCCTTTTAGGCATGTTAAGAAAGAAATACCTAAAATGCTCATCTCCTAGGCTACTTCCAAAAATCTGAAAGCCAGAATGTTTTGAATTAATAAGCTCAATCTGTTTCTTCAAGCATGGCCGAGTAGATCTCAACCACATATTAGAAATCAGGGGCCTTGTGTTCCTTTCCTTGAGTTGCTACGAGCAAGGAGAAAACAGGAAATCTGCTCAGGGTGGAGGCGCTGCAGCAACAGCCGGAGCCGGAGCCGTTACTCACTGCACACTTGGCTGTGTGGGCTCAGGATGTCACTGAGCACCGCCCGGGCCTGCTCTCCTCTGCCCGATGCCCTGTGCTCTCGGGACTCATCCTCTGCGACCCCCGGAAAAGCCGGGGATGTGATGGCGGGGAACCTGGAGCTCAGCCCCTGCTGTTCCCCTCACTGGGCACAGGTCACTTGGTCCCTCTGCATCTCTGCTTCCTGATGTGACACAGAAAACCAAGCCACGGCCCTTACTCTTAAACAGCAGTGCTCCTGTGAGGGGTGAATCAGTCAGGTCAGGGTCCGGATGAAAGTGAGTGAAGAAGAAAAACACATCTTTGTCACCAATCCCTTACACTGCCCTCATGAATTACAACACTTGAATTGTACTTGAACTATAACTTCCTTGAGGGATGAGACCAGATTTTCTACATCTTGTTTCCCCTGTGAAGCCTAACACAATGCAGATGCTCAAGAATTCCTTTCAAATTAACAAAGAATGAATGAGAAAATAAGCAAAGGAATGTAGCATTACAGCGTTTGGGAAAGGTCACCATCCCATATAGAAATATTTGAATTCTAACTTACAAGTGTTTGTATGAGTTACTCAAACTTAATTATTCCTGAATTCTTCTGAGCTCGATAGCCTGATCCTTAGTTATATCATTGCTGAGAAAGACATATATATATACACATATATATATATATACACACACACACACATATATAGACACACACACATACATAAACATATAGAGGCATATGTCCCCATGTGTATCAAGCACTGGACACTGAGAGAGAGTTTAATGTATCCCACACTTAAAATACAAACAGAATTTCTCACCAGAAACAGAAAGCCAAGTAATAAGAAAAGGTTACTTTCTGGTATTCACTATTCTTTGGGGTTTAGTCCTGACAAGTCGAGCTTCCCAACCTCTTGTTAGTAAGCTAAGGGGTTTAGTGATGCTATTTGAAAACGAGATGCCAATACTGTTCTGTAAATACTATAAAAATCAACAACCAAAAACCCAAAGCCTGGGAATTAAAGGATTTTGCTAATAACAAGGAGAAGTCTGGCTGGAGATGCTACAGAAAAGATGAGAGACGGGGAAGGGCCTCCTGGGCCCAAGTGCATCTGCAACACAGGCACGTCCTACCTCCTTGTCGCTGTAGGAGATGTTTCTGATTTCATTCCATGGGAAGGAGATCTTGGGGGTCAGCTTGTTATCGAGGTCATAGATGTGAAGCCCCAGAGCATCCACTCCAAGCAGTAACTCTGTGCCCTTTTTATTCTGTAGATTTGACAAAAGCAGCTACTGTCAGCCCCCGCTGAGGCTTGAGATTTTTATTCAACTTCCCAAAGAACCAGGCACACACTGCTACAAACAAGTTCCAACAGGACCCAACAGAAGTCACAGCTGTCTTGTAACCCAGGGGGTCTCCAGCTTCCTGGGTCAGGGCAGGCAGAGACAAAAGCGTGCCTTCTGGGACTCATGTGTGCCAGACAGGGATCACTGCAGGCTTCCGTCACTGGTTTGATGGCTGAAACACCAGCAATCTAAGGATTGCTACCTCTAAAAAGTACAGTAGTCCCCCCTTCTCCACGGTTTCCCTTTCCGTGGTTTCAGCTACCTGCAGTCAACCAGAGTCTGGAAGCAGATGATCCCTTTCTGACATTGTCAGAAGGTCAATAGTATCCTAACACTACATCGTTCACCTCACTTCACCTCATCACATGGGCATTTGACCATCACAATCACCACCAGAAGTGCAGTACAATAAGACATCGAGACAGATCACATTCATGCAACTTTTATTCCAGCATATTATCACAACTGTTCTATTCTTTTAGTTATTATTGTTAATCTTTTACATTGCATCTAATTTTTAAAATAAACGCTATCATATGTATGTATGTGTAGGAAAAAACATAGTATATATAGGGTTCAGTACTATTCATGGTTCAAGGAGTCCTCTAGGGTCTGGGAACATATCCCTTGTAGATAAAGGGGCACTACTGAAGCCAAGTTATCACAGATGCAGAATAAAAGCCTGTAGGATTAGATATCTCTTATGTTAAAAGTTGTTGTACCACCAGAAAGAAAATTTGAAGTGCTGGAATCAGATGGTCTTATTTTATGTAAAAATGTAGTGTTGAAGTGATGAAGCAAATATAGTAAAACAATGATTGTAGAATCTAGGCAGGGGGTAAATATAGGTATTTGCTATAAAATTCTTTCAACTTTCCTGTATGTTTTAAACTTTTTATAACACACTGTCGGACAAAATATATCTAAATGAATGGTATCAAAATCAAACCTCAATAAATCTGTTAAAAAATTTAATTGATTGTACGTATGCTCTACCTCTAACAGTGGACCCGGTCAGCAGGCAGAGCAGCCAGAGGGCCAGTGCCCTAGGCTCCAGTGTGGACCTGGATGCTACACCCCATGCTACCGGCCCATCTGCCTGCATTGTGATCTGACCCTTGCATGGCCGTGGGAGGAAGCTCCCAGCACAAGGACCTGACCGCTTGATGACAACAAGGAAAATGAACCAAGACTCAAGGGCAGGAAAATAGCTCTGCAAACTGAGAAGGGGTTCTGACTGTGAGGAGAAGCACAATCTAACAGCTGGCATCAGATGGAGAAGTGGGTGTTCACATAAATCCCCTTCCAGCACCCTGAAGTCAGGCGCAATCCACCAGCCACAAAAGAGATTCCTCTTCTGTCTGCAAAGCTCTTAAGACTACTGCATTAACACAAGTGAGGCTTTGTACTTTTAAAAAAAAGTCTGCAGTACATTTTGGAAGATGAGATATTTTATTATGTTTCCGGCTATTCAGCTTAATTTTTTAAAACAAAGGAGTCCACCCTCTGCCTCCTACTATTATGACTCCACTGCTTCTAGAGAATAAACGTACAGAGTGGGACTCAGGCAGCCCCTTGAAAATTGTTTTAAGTACATTCTTCCTTAGTAGATGGTAAAATTTCAGGAACTTCAACACAAAAGATACTAAAATATCTGTTAGCCTTGTCTACAAGAAAAACACACAGCCATACACACACACACACACACACACACACACACACACACACACACAAAAAAAAAAGTATTTCAGTCTGACTGCTAGAGAAATATTCCCTAACAAGAAAATGTTGTTTTAGGGATTATAAAACACTAGTTTTCTAGAATCTAGGTGCTGGTATATGAGGCAAGAGGACTGTTATGTCGACAAAACCACAGACATGTATTAAATCACTCTGACCTTAAAGACCCAACAATTAGCAAATACAAATTAATAAAACTTTAGAAAACAACCTTCTGCACGAATATGGAAAAATTTTCCAGCACTTGTTTACTATATGAAATAACATAACTTGTCAGGGTGCCTTAATGCAAAGTAATTCATTTTTTAAAATCTGATTTAGAAAACAAATACATCAGGTAGAAAACTCCCCTAGAATATTTAGAAAATGGGTTTCAATTTACCCAAACTTAATACAAAATTTATAGGAACCCCCAAAAGGAAAGCAAGATAACTATGATAATAAAGGTGCATGTGCACAAACAGTTGTTTTAACATCAACACATCACCAGTTTAGAACCCTCAAGGAAATACTTGACCAAACCTCACGAATTCCTTTGGAAGGAGCTGCCCATGTACTGGACCCAGCAGTGGAACCTTGAGAGAAATATGTTCAAAAGACCTAGACTGGCCTGAAAACAAACGCCTCTCTGGCGCAGAAGCAATGGGTTCCCAGAGGACAGCGCACTATTAATGGTCTGAATAGAAAACCAATCAGCCTGTTAGTGAGAACAGGATTCCCCACCCAAACAAACTGGTCATCTCTGAAAGTAGCTTTACTCTCCTAGTGCCCTGGGGAAGAAAGTATTTACAGGTGCTCCCTGTGGGCTGATATCACACAGAACCAGAAATAGTCAAGTAACACTCAGAGCATTGGAACAGGTTTCTCCTGAGCACAAGCCAGGCCCAAGTCCCCCTGAGGCTCGACTGACACTTAATTACCTAGGATCTAATGGAAGTCCAAAAATAGACAATGAAGCTGTAAGACCCCCTCCCCTTCCTCTTTTCTTCACCACTGGAGCGTTAAAGAGTCTACCACCCCGGAATGAGGAAGTAACCCATCTTAGCAGTCTGCTTATACTGAGGGACCTTGGAGAGGCTTCAACACACCCGGATTGCAAAGTAGTTCACACCGTACATCTCCAGGTCCTGAGCTATCTTCAGATACTCCATTTCAGCTTCATCCCTGTGAGAATGAAAGGCACTGTCACTGGAGCTGAGTGAGAAAACGGGAGGACACGCAGGCACACGCTGTGCTGAGCATTCACAGCTGCCAGAGGACGCAAACCAGGGCAGACACCAGGAGAGCTCTTCCAACCCTGAGACTACGAGACACGCTGAGGTCAAGCAAAATTTCCCATCCCTTTAAAGACAGGAGGACAGAGTCATTACAGTTTCTCCTGGCTTCAATTTCATGCTTTCCCCTTGGTAAACAGTGACACCCGCCTCAAGTAACTGAAGAAAAGTTTGTGGAATGCTGTCTTTCCCTCTGAAGCGGATTTGTATGTTCAAATTATATTAAAGTTGTTGCTTTGTCTAATTGTGTATTTTCTTCACCTAAGTTTTGGTAATGCAAGCTACCTGAGGCTACCTTCCCGATTTTATTTCTTTGGGTGTTGCTGGAGCTCATCTGGGCTGTAGAACCTAAGCCAAGTCACCTACTTCTAAGTTATGAGACACACTGAAGGTAAGCTCTTGAAGCAGCAAGGACCTGCAGAAAACTCCCATGCAGGTACAGTACTGAAATATTTTAACTCAACTCTCCCTATGACCTTGCCTTCCTCCCTCTCTTTTTGATCTCAAAATGCTCTCAAATGAATTTAAGGAATTCAAGCCGAGAGAACACCAAGTGTTGGCAAGCAGGTGGAGTGGCGAGAAATCACACAAGCCTGCCAACGCACACTGGTACAATGGCTTGGAAACCGTCTGACATTATTCGTAATAACAAAAACCAGGAGACAACCCAACAACCTAAATGTCCATCAGTAGGGGAATGGGTAAATAATTTGTGGTTTATTAAGACAGGGGAATTCTACAAGGCACTGAAAAGGAAAAAACTGCTATACACAAAAACCCAGATCTCACAATCTGATGCTAAGTAAAAGAAATGAGCTACACACACAAAAAATAGGAACTGTCCAAATACATTTACATAAAGTTTAAAATAGACAACACTAATCTATGGAGGCAGAAACTAGGAGAGCAGTTATCGCTGGGAAGGTGGTAGTGGGGCGGTATCTCTCTAAGGCTATCTTGTCCCCTGGCATTACAATAGTGTTTTCACTTTGTGATATTTTCACCAAATGGTATGTTTATGATTTGTCCATTTTTTGGTATAAATGTTAGACATTTTTAAAAGTAAAAAATATACATATGCATGATAGAAGTTGATTGAAGAAGAGAAAATGTTAAAGGCTAATTAAAAAATGATCAATTCCTAAAGTGGTCAGGGAAATGCCAATTAACACTTAAGATACAAATTTCCACCTTTTAGATTACAAAAATTAGATTGATAAAAACAAGTGTTGAGGAGAGGAGGGGGAAAGACACTCCCACAGACTGCTGATAGGCACATAAATAGGTATAACCTTTCAGTGTCCTTTAGTGGGACCTGTCAAAATGCAAAACATTCACATCCTTTGACTCAGCAACTCTTCTAAAGAATCTATCCTCAGAACTACTCTTACAATTCTATAACAATACAGGATTGTACACTGCAGGACAGTTTATAAAAGTTTGAAAAACCTACAGCCACTCCAAATGAGTAGAGGAATTGATGCAAAAGCTATGGAGATTTCTATACAGTAGAATCGTTAATGTGAAACCAAATTACGAGTGAACGGAGTAGGTCTGTCCGTCCTGGCACATAGGAAGTACCCATAGCAATGAAAAAGGACACACACAAAAGTGAAGATGTGTTTCTCTCAGCTCTGCCTTATTCTCTCATATACTTTGGCACCACGTTTTGTTCAACAAGCATGTCCTAGTTTTGTAGTTCTTTAAAAAAAAAAAAAAGCCTACAAAGAAATGTAAACTAATAATGAAGCAGCCTCACCTGGCTCGGCCTCGGTGTTCTGCGTAACAGGCTGTAATTCTCTCCTCCCACATTTCTGGAGTCATTTGGTATAGATTTATTACCTACCAAAAAATAGAGAAAAAAAAAAAAACCCACACAAAAAAAGTTTTTATATTGTTTGCCATTTTTGTAACTATGCATCACTTTTACAAAACAGCAAAGGTATTTTTAAAAAGCCATCTACAGGGGGCAGTCACACACAGAGGTGGGTGTGTAAACAAGCACCATTCAATCTGAGTCATGACTTGGGAAGCTGCACCATTACTCAGGCCTAGGTGCACCCCTCTCCTGGCAGGGGCCCCTCTTTCATGGGCTGTAGGTCTCAGAGGGAGGAGCTTAGTCCAGAGAAATGCTCACTAATCTAGGGCCAGGCAGCCAGGCCAGGCTGTGTGTGCTGCGGCCTTCGCCTGCACAGTTGCCATCAAAAGAGCAGGTAAAGTCAAGGAAGGGTGAGGAGCAGGCTTTTATTATACATGACAGATGAGCAGAGCTATAAAACTGGAAGCAGCAAAAGAGAGGGAGGGTGTGCTTGTATGGCTAATGAACAAGATGAACATGAAGGATTAAAAACTACAGCGCCCATCCTCAGTTCATCTCCCCTATCTTCCCTGTGCAGGTGCCAACAGCTCGATTCCCTGGGCTGAATGCACACTGTTCCACGCTGCCCCCTGGGAATAACTGACCCACCTTTAAAGAAAGACATTTAAAGGCCATCCTAGTCCTGGCAGCTCCAAACTAATGCCACAAACCTTTGCTTTTTAATAGTCTTAACAGAGATTTCCACACTCTTTACTCAAGATTGATTAACAAAATATTTATTAAAATATTCTTGCCATGTACTTTCAATATTCCTTCTAGTCCTTCAGTCAGCCTTTTTATAGACCTCTTATCTGCTCTGTCTTCCCAAACTGGGGGATTTGATTTCTTACCCTTTTTGGAAGCAATTCCTCTTGGGCCAAAAATCCCCGCTTATGAACAGAGGGGTCGTAGTCACCATACTGGAAGGAGAAAAAAGGAAAGCCAGCTATTGAGATTCTGAAGACAACTGCCCATTTCTCGGCCAGGGCTCCCCTCAGTCTCATTCCCCCCAGCTCCGGGAGCAATTCAATTCTGATGACAAGTCAAGATTTCAACTTTGCTAGTTTGTTATCCTTGAATGAAAATATAAAGCTGATTATATCTATGAGCAGAGTTGCATAATCCCGTACAGGATGGATGGGTGATGTACTAATAAGAATGTGACATTTGTACGGAACTGTAGCTGTATTTTCTAACCTACAAAAGCAGTCTACCAAAACATTAGCTTTTGAAATGAAGTAACAAAACACAACTGTGATCGTTGTGATTAACGTGTGATAAGAGTCTCACCTACAAATGCATTTAAGTGGCTGGTAATTGGAGCCAACTGCTAGGTGGGAGTGAGGGTAATGCAGGCAATATTTTTAATACCTTTCATTCAAGGCTCTGGAAAATTCTTTGGAAAAATCTGATGCCAATGCTGTCAATGAATGAGTAACAACAATGATGCCAACAACAAAGAAATGAGTAAAAGGTTAACTAATTTTCCTAAAGCTGCAGAGCAAGACACAAGTGGGACCAGAAATGTATTTTAATGTATTCATCTGGGGACAATAACTTGGAACGCACTTCCTGATTTAAGAAAAATACCTCTTTCTTTCTTAGGAAACTTTAGTCTGAACAGGAAATAATAAAAATGAAGCAATTTTTAAAAAGAAACTAACCATAAAACATATAGAATATAAAATCATAGCCTGTCTCTTTGTCAGTCTGTTATTTAGTGGCTTTTCTTTTGACCCAAAACAGAAAGCTCAGCATTTTAGGGTAATCGTCTATAACCATGTATCCTTTTAGCGACCAACACTGGAGAAAAAAAGAAAGGTTCACCACAAGGCTGTCGGCTTTACCAACCACCGAATCAGGTCAGATGCGGCCCCTCTCATTCCCAAAGAGCCTCGAGTTAGACTTCTGGGGTGTTTTTCCAAATGAAGTCATATACCGAACAGACACTTATGGGATTAAAAGGAGATGTTCATCAGCAATTTAAACCATGCCTCATTACTATCCCACCCTGCTATAAAAGCCCTGTGAATTAATATTGCTTATGAGTCTCATAGTTGGCTTGTGACTAACAGAAATGTATTGCATTGCTTTCTGAGGATTAAAGGAATTAATTCGTCAAATTTAAATATTTAAAATATGCCACTGCTTTTGTGACCCTGTCTAGGCATTTTTTCATTTAAAAAACTTTAAGGAACCTGGTTTCTCTGGATCTCTGAAAGGCCCAGGGATGGAGCAAGGCAGTAACTGGCTGGGGTTTTCACGGGACTCTCTTGGGAGGCAGCTGCAAGGTGCAGGTAGGAGCCTGGCTCTGGAGGCACGGTGTTTAAGGTTCAGTCCCAGAGTTTTAGCTGTGACCCGGGAAATCTCTGAGTCTCAGTTTTCCTGTCTGTAAAATGAGGATAATGACGGTATTTATCTTACAGGGTTCTTATAAGAATTAAATGAAATAGTATCCATAAAATTATAAAAACTATGCTTGACATACAGCACTTAATACAACCTCATGTCAAAAGATAAAAACTCAGGTTGTATCACCTCTCTGAATCTATTTTCTAATTTGTCAAACGAGAGAGCTGGTTATAGAGGCTTTCTAAGCAAGGGCTCTGGAGTATTCCCTCTGAGGCCTTGAGTAGGGCACTCTCTCTCTAAATCCCAGCTTCCTCAGCTGGAAAGCAAGGGTCATAATAGCACCTGCCTCACGGGGGGCTGAGGAGGAGGAAGTAAGACAATCCAGGAAAGCATTTTGCATAGGGCCTGGCTCAGATGAATGTCTGGTATTACTGTTATCCTCAGCATTATTTATAATCACTGGTCACCGTTTGCCTCTCCAGTTTCTGAAGAGGTAGGATGCTAAAAAGCTCTGCTAGTTGCATTTGCAAACCTCTCAAAAGTACTGACTAAAATCAAATGAAAAGCAAGCAGATATGCAAAGTTAAAGTTGTAAATTCAGGTTTCAAAGGCTTGCATGGTCAATGATCCACATATCATACTGAATTCCCAGCTACTCCACTGATGGAAATGTTACATCTGAGCAATGCAGAGGCAGCAAGGACACTCCTTAAAATGCCTCTCCACTGGACGAACTCCGCTTACTACATCAAAGCCACCTAGAAAAACGTATCTGCTCTTAACTGTCCCTTTAAAAAAAGCAAAAGAAGAAAGCCCTGACGTGGCGGCAGTCAGTGAGTATAAAAGAAAGTCATGCCCCCCCAGATGGAGGCAGCTGTGCCTCATCGTTTCATGTACAGATGCATTCAGATGACATAGCCCAAAACTGAATTTACCGTAAAGCTAATGAAGCTTGGCTTTTAGGTCTCTGCGCCTGCACCTAATTTTATATTTATAATTTGGTGTCCCTGCATTAAAGAGAACCCCCTAAGTTCTATAAACTTCAGGCCCCACAAAACCTGGATCCACCCCTGATATAAACCAACTCACTTTAAATTCAAGAAGAAAGCTGAACATTTAAAGGACTTCTGGAGTTGATTCTTGGGTTAAAAGAAGCTCCTTCTAGATGTTAAATACTTTCCTCTGTCTGTATACATAGAAAATCAGACCAAATGCTCTGAACAGGATTTCACAAAACATAAACATCTGATCAATATATATTTAGAATAGTTAGATCCCTACCGCACACTAGTCACTAAATTCCAGATGGATGAGATGCAAACCTCATATGAAAATCCATAAAAATACCAGAACAAAATATAGAAGAACATGTGTATAATAATGGTTGGTGAAGCCATTCTAAGTCACTCAAAACATAAAAAAAGACTGACAAGTCCAATATATTAAAAAAAAAAGATAAAAGGTTAACACCCATAATATCTGGAACTCCTACAAATCAATTTGAAAAAGATAAACTATACAGTAGTAAAATGGGCAAGTCGTAAACATTGATTCACAAGGAAAGAAATATAAATGCCACTTAGTCTATGAAAAGATGCTCAGCCCCAATGTTAATCAAGGAAATGAAAACTTTTAAAAATCTATTTTTCTATCAGATTAGCAAAAATTTAAAAGACTAACAGCATCCACTGCTGATGAAGATGTGGAAAAACAGGTATTCTCACACACTGTTCTCTTAGAAGTTAAATTAGGACACTTTTGCAGGGCAATTGGTCCTATCTACTTAATTTTTTTATTGAGATAAAATTTACATATGTAAAATTCACCATTTTAAGCACATAATTCAGTGGTTTTTAGTATACTCAGAATATTGTACACACATCCCTATCTTATTCAGAATATTTCCATCACCCCAAAAAGAAATCCCATACCCGTTAGCAGTAAGTCCTAATATCCTTCTCCTTCCAACCCTTAGCAACCACTAATCTACTTTCTGTCTCTATGGATTTGCTTATTCTGGACATTTCATATAAGTGGAATCACATAATATGCAGCCTTTCACATCTGGCTTCTTTCACTTAGCATTATTATAAATTTTACATGTTTTTATCCTTTAGCCCAGTTGCACCATTTGTTGGTGTCTGTCATAGAGAAATATTGTTTATATGTGCCTAGAGAGGCATATTCAAGGATGTTCAGTGTCCATTTAAATTATAGAAAGAAAAACAAACCTAAATATCTACCAATAAAGAGATATCTAAATAATCCACAATCCCCCCTTTTTATGAAACATTGTGCAGTAGTTAAACAAATGAGGTGGGTCTATCTGTTCTGACAGTTTTAAGTGAAAAGGGAGTGTTGTGTAGGAGTTCCTCTGGAGTAGCCACATAGAAGTGCAATTTCGGGGACTTGGGGAAGGCATGAACCCTCAGCTGACTGGCCCCCAATACACACACATTTGCTCTACAGAGGTTATGCCCATTCCCAGTCCCCTCCAGCAAGTATATAAGATCAAACCAAGCTACTATCCAATTTACTAATCCTTGTCAATCTTATAGGCTTGAAATGTTACCTTACTGTTGCTTTAATTTTTCTTTTTCTTGGTTCCTGGTGAGATTGAGCATCTTTTTGTATTTACAGACTATTCTCATTTCTCTTCTATGAAGTACCTGCTGGTTCATACCCTTTACACCCATTTTTCTGCTGCCTTTTTCTTATGAACTTAAGAGCTCTTTATATTCAGGGATACATCTGCAATTCTACTTCTAGAAATCTACCTCAAGGGGAAAAAGTTTTTGCACATGTACACAAGGAATCATATAAAAGAATTTTCAGTAAAGCACTGTTTATAATAGGGGAAAAGTGGAAGCTAAACTTACCTCTCCCCCAGAAGGGGGATGGGTAAATAAATTAGATTTATTCACCAATGGCTGCCATCCAGCAATTAAAAGCAATGAGCTACATCTACACATACAACAGGCTACATCTCAAAATCGATGTTGAGTAGGAAAAAAATATATCAATTTATAAAAAGATAAGCCAAAAAAGGGGGGAGGGGTATAACAGAGTATATCACCTTTTACATCAACTTTTACCTCCTAAATATTTTTAAGTCAGTGTCTTCCCTTCCAACTGACCACTGCCCAAGGTGTGACCCTCATTGTCTCTCACCAGGATGGCCACCACAGCCTTCTAACAGGTCTCCATTTCCAAACTTGTCTCACCCTAATCTGTCCTTCACACAGCCACCAAAGATCTGTCTAAAATATAAACTCTCCACTGGCTCTGCATCACTCACAGGATAAAGTTAAGACCCTTTATGATCTGGCCTGCTGCAGGCTGCTTCAGTCTCAACGCTTGCCACTCTTTACATATACTTCACATACCCAAGTTCTTAATGGCCTTTTGGCACTCTGTCCCTAATTTACATCAAAGTGTACTAAGAAATACTAAGCCTCCTCTCCCACCATTCTTGTCTCTGAACTACGAATCTGCAGGCCAGTGCTGAAAGATTGGTAAATTGCATACCATTCTCTCCCAAAGTCATTTTAATAAGAACACATTTTAAACATCAAATTGTCAATATAAGATCCAACAGGTGGCTTAAAACATTGCAAGATGGTTTGACATGTCATGTGACTGGCTCCCAAAAAAACCCAGCCCATACTTTTGATTCAAGCATAACTCAAACTCCCTCCCACAAATACGGTTCTTGTTAACTGAACCATGTGATTAATATTTGTATTTATACTTTGAGGGTAATTGTTTCTTTATGCTTTGGAATTAACTGTGTCTATATCATTCAAACAGCTGAAATACTGTAATGAATACATTTGTGCATAATTACATTCCACGTGTTAATGAGCTCAATTCACTTTCCCCACCACACTTTGAAAGTTCCTGTTTCAGAATGGTTGTAGAGGGAAATAAATTGAATATAATGGGAGGAACCAGTATGATTTACTGAAAAGTCTGGACTAATGTGATCACGTAAATGAGTGGAATTCCGTGAAAGGCAGTGTGTGCTATCCAGAGACGCCCCTCACACACTAGGGTGGGAGGCGAGTGCAGAGCGCTGAGTGAGGCAGCCCGGACACTGGGGTTCTTGTCCTGGTTCCACGCTCCGGTTCTGCTCTGCTTCAAATCCTGTCCAACAAGAAGTGGGCTGTGTATTTCCTTTAAAAAAGAATTAGCATAAAGTATTGTGACCTTAGACAAATTATCCGTCCTTTCTAAGCCTGAAATTCCTCATCTGCAAACAGGCATAACACTCTCAAACCTTGGCTTACAGAAACGACTACTATGAGTATCGCACAAAATATTCATTTGTAACATTTTGTAAAACTGTAAAATACTACAGGCATGTAAGATCTTATTAATATTGTAATCAGAGATATCCTTTTAATATTAACCAGCAGTCCTAGAAACCAGAAGCATATATTATATGCTGTTATAATATGTTATAGAAGTTATAACAATCCTTAGTTTTCACGAATGCAGACTTAGAGTCATAGATTACCTTTATTTGTAAGATCTGAAAATTTATACCGGAAAAAACAGTTAGAACATCCTCCTCCATATGAGCCACATATGCTGTCTGTGAATCACTTTCATCTCTAAATTAGTAGGATCCAAATTAGTAGGGCTTTCCTACAGTGAAATCTGTTTAAGCAAACATCTGCCGGTTCCCTGAAAAGTTATTTTTTTCCCACAGGTGGCCTTTGAATTTGTGGCCCAAAATCCATGCCAAGAAAATGTAGCCTTTGAGCCTGAAGCCTTTCAAGGAGATGTAGTGTCCTTGAGAGCTTAGGCCTCCTCTCCACTGGGGAGAAGGCATGCTAAAGAGGAACTCGGTTCTGGGCCAGGAAGTGCTCAGATTTAATGAAAGTGACAATGATTGCTTCATCACCGTCAGGGTGCAGTGTGTGCTATCCAGAGACGCCCCTCACACACTAGGGTGGGAGGCGAGTGCAGAGCGCTGAGTGAGGCAGCCCGGACACTGGGGTTCTTGTCCTGGTTCCACGCTCCGGTTCTGCTCTGCTTCAAATCCTGTCCAACAAGAAGTGGGCTGTGTATTTCCTTTAAAAAAGAATTAGCATAAAGTATTGTGACCTTAGACAAATTATCCGTCCTTTCTAAGCCTGAAATTCCTCATCTGCAAACAGGCATAACACTCTCAAACCTTGGCTTACAGAAACGACTACTATGAGTATCGCACAAAATATTCATTTGTAACATTTTGTAAAACTGTAAAATACTACAGGCATGTAAGATCTTATTAATATTGTAATCAGAGATATCCTTTTAATATTAACCAGCAGTCCTAGAAACCAGAAGCATATATTATATGCTGTTATAATATGTTATAGAAGTTATAACAATCCTTAGTTTTCACGAATGCAGACTTAGAGTCATAGATTACCTTTATTTGTAAGATCTGAAAATTTATACCGGAAAAAACAGTTAGAACATCCTCCTCCATATGAGCCACATATGCTGTCTGTGAATCACTTTCATCTCTAAATTAGTAGGATCCAAATTAGTAGGGCTTTCCTACAGTGAAATCTGTTTAAGCAAACATCTGCCGGTTCCCTGAAAAGTTATTTTTTTCCCACAGGTGGCCTTTGAATTTGTGGCCCAAAATCCATGCCAAGAAAATGTAGCCTTTGAGCCTGAAGCCTTTCAAGGAGATGTAGTGTCCTTGAGAGCTTAGGCCTCCTCTCCACTGGGGAGAAGGCATGCTAAAGAGGAACTCGGTTCTGGGCCAGGAAGTGCTCAGATTTAATGAAAGTGACAATGATTGCTTCATCACCGTCAGGGTGATACTGATTGAAAGGACACATTTTTCCTGTTATTAATATTCTTAATCAAAGCATAAAAGGAAGCATATGTTTTAGTTGAACTAAGGCCCATTTTCTATTTTTTTTAATTACTCATTTCTCTGGGCAGTTAAATAGGGGAGGACAAAATACAACTCCAAAACCATGAATTCGGCACTTGGCTTTATCCAAATGACCTTGGGCAAATCACTTAGGGCAGATTCTTGCTTTAGTGTCTGTATCTCTGACAGAGTCAACAACCCCTCCTTGGGCCTGAAGAACACTCAGCAGATATTAGACGAGTCATAAGATGATTGAATCGATTCTGGTGCTTGTTTGCATGACCAGTGTGAACAGACTTCTTTCCTCCCAAACGACAGGCCAGTTACTTCCTGGCTTTACTCTGAAATCATATTAAACTACCCAAAAAAACAAGCTAAGGAGTTAAGAATATCTTATTATTTTTTATAACACTGCAGGAAAATGGTTTTATGGATACCTCTAACTTAAAAAGAAAATAATAAATGAAAAGATTTTGCAAAATTGCAAAAGTAATGAGGATGTCCCAATTCTGGGACATCTTATGCTACAGTGAGAGGAAGGAAGCAGAGGGACTAGGAGAAGGGAGTGTGACTGAAGTGGGCTATCTAAGGGACACAAAGTGCCCTGGGCTGACCCTATAGTTGGTCTTATAAAAACAGAGAGGACAAAAACACAAGACCAATGGTGTCCTTCTCCACCCCCCTAATTCACAGTGATTTCTCTGTGAATGACTTTCAGCTTATCATACAGCTCATTGGAATCAGTGGGCCCAAGAGCCTGCAGTGCCCAGCCATAAGCACAGCTAGCACACCCACCAGAGGTAGATGCAGCAGGGCATTCTCTAGATGTGCTATGGTCCCCACACACAGGGCCGCTGGGTCCTCAGAAGATGAGACCCTGGGCCTTTCTGACCTAAAGGCCACATTCGGCCCAAACTTCCAACCGTACATTCATTTCTCTTAGTTAAAAAAAAGAGATTGGTCCAATGAATGTACTTAATCACATGTGCACAATGAGATTGCACAGAGAATTCATCAAGCTGTACACTTATCATTTGTACATACACACACATGCTTTTGCAAGATTATACAGAATCTGGGACAGTGATAGTGACTCCCCGTCCACACATCCCATTACATCTCACTTTGTGCGAAAAGTGACTAAGAAATCCAAAGAAAACAGATGACTGGGGTGATCTTGCGGCACATGCTGGTGCCCAGGAAGAATGCATTTTTCTTCTTTGAGCCTACCTTGGCCTGGACAGCATAAGAAGCCAGGAGCACAGAAGCCTCAGGAGGGCAGTAGATCTTCTCATCTAAAATCTGCTTCTTTACCTGGAAGGAGCAACAAGGGAGACATGAGGCCCTGTGCCTGAACGTGAGCTACGCAGGCTGGTCACAGCAGATGGCTGCAGGGCGTTCTAACGAGGGCTGCCAAACCAGCCTGTTAATGACTTTCTGACAAAGGGTACACTTTTTTTTACTGCTGCAGACATGCTGGTAGTCCAGCTACTGAGAAGTTATTGGCGAGATGACTACGCATAAAATACCCTACCTCTTCTCTTCGTGATTATGTGCTCAAGAGGAAGAATACTCCTTATGGTTAGAATAGAGCCTGACATCTGGGCTGTGACGGAGGAGGGCTGTGATCCTGAAAAGCGTCAGGAGCAGCTCTAGTGGTGACTGCAGCCTCGGCCCCTGTTGCGCACATGCAGCACTAAAGGAAATGAAATCTACTTTTAAGTCTCAACACAAGACAAAAGTCAGCAAGGCCACTGAGTTATGACTGTAGAAAAAAACCATCACTTTCAATATGCTCGCTCTAAGGAGAAAGGAAGCAGTAAAGTCTGATCGATTAAACTCTTAAGTACAGGTGAGGCCCAGGAAATATAATTCTCAAGCCATAATGCTGAATTAACCTATCTCATTGCATTGCATTTCTTAGAATGGGGCAGCATGTAATGTTCCAGACATAGAGGGAAGAGGGTCCCATGAAGCGGGGCACACTAAAAGAAACACAACAGGAAAGCTGGCGCTCTTTGCACAGATGTCAAGTCACCAGAGCCATATAAGTTAGTAAATTTTGCTTTGCTCAGCCAAGAAAATGCACCAACATTGCAGAGGGAAAATTATGCTAAGGTCAGATGAGGGTTGGGCATTGCTTCTGAGGGCTTATAAGAAAGCCATCTCTGTAATGCTGGGACATTCCAGGGCCTAGGAGATCATTCCAGGGCCTACGTGGTTTTGTTCAAAGCAGTGCAACTTTCTAATCCCTTGGTTTTTTTTCAAAGGGAAAAAAAAAAAACCCATCCTAAAAAAAATCTGAAAGGACTTCCCTTTGACAAGAAAACGTTAGGAGGGGGAGTAGGTGTCTCTATATACCATATATACAAACACATTTTTACAAACGTTTTTTGTAAAAGAAATTATTTGGGTTTTTAACATTACATTTAGCTTAATTTAATATTTACTGAACTCAATAATCTGAGGTTCAAACTAATTAAAAGAGAACTAGGTGGCAGACTACAGTCAATTCTGGGAAATCAAGCAATTACCGCCCCTGCTGCGATCTCTTCCATGGCTGGCGGCAGCCACCTTTGGGCCCGCAGGCAGCCAGCGCCAGCCTCTGTGACTAACCAGGAAACCTGGGCAGCGATCTGGCCGAGCTGACAGGGTTTTCATCCTCACACAAACCCTCGCTCACAGTGCCCCCAAGAAAACTAGCTGTCTTTGAACTTGTAATCACGGATCTCCTAATTTCTTCAATTCCGTAGAGCGATTACTTATGGAATGCCTACTGTGCGTTCAATGAGCCTTGCCTTTCCGGGGCTTCCAGTCTAATGAGGGAGTAAGAGAGAAATAAGACAATCATAGACAAAGGGAAGCAAAAGCACAAAGTTTGAAGCTCTACATGCAAGGGATTAGCTGAGCATCACTGGAGTTTTGCTCTTCTGTTTTAATGAGAGTAGATTTTGAACTTTTGGAAGAGCTATTCTTTATAAGATGGTCTCTTCAGACTTCCTCTGCAACTTGAGTACTTGTTAAGTTAGTGAGAAGAAAATAGGATCCACCTGCAAAGAGGTTTCGAGTTAGGTAGCTCCTTGCATCCACTCTCGTTCACCATCACACTTCGGTAATTCCATCTGACACCAATTCCCATCACTCAAGTACAGTCAGTTCTGAAGACTCTTCACATTACAGAGCCAAGGGGACTGACTTTCCAGAGGCAAAACATTTTTGCAGTGTAAAGGCATTGGGGGCCAACTTCGAGGGGTTCATGTTCTCTCAGAATTGGGGGGCAGCACGGACTGACGTACCTGCAAGAAGAATAAATGTTGCGTGATCTCTTGAACCAGCTCCTCCTCGGCATTCTCAGGATAAAATTTGGCCAGGAAGTGAAAGGTGACTGGCTCTTCTTTTGAAACATCATGATCCAGCACCTGCAGAATTGCAGAGCAGAAGAAAAACAAGCTATGTTGGCACCATTTCCTCCCATGCCACCATCAAAGAACCTTTTGCAAGGATTGTATAAATATGTTTCCCCCTCTAAACTCATCACTTTTCCTGAAGGCTGTGATTCTACAGTTTGAAGCATTTACAAAGCCATCTACAACAAGAGGTAATATTCTCTTCACATGGTGTTTCTGAACCGAATTAATCAATATCCCCACGGGGTGAGTGGAGCCAAGATTATTAAGGCACAAATGTTTTCAAGGCCACAGAGATAGTTAAAAACTAGAAATTTATAACTCAAAGGTCTTGGGCACCATCTTTTACGGTAGGCTGAAGGTTTTTTAATTTTCTGAAGTAGTGGAATCTTCCTTTATTCTTTTTGCTGGCTGCCAGCTCCCAACATTTAGGTCCATTCCAATAATGGAGCTAAGAGATGATGAACTAGATCTTTCTGAAATCATCTAAACATTAATGGAATTAACAGAGCAGAAGTGAAACATGTCCAGTATGGCAACCCTTTGTTTCAAGGAACCTCTAGAGATGCCCCACAAAATACTTGAGCACAGTCAATAAACCATGCTGCCTTTAATCTTCTAACAATTTCATCCACCCACTGAAAAGCTTGAACCATCTGCTCTCCAGAATGAATTTCATTTCAGGACATAAACATGCCATGTGACAGGCTACAAGACTCCATTAACATGTGTCATAATTTATTTCCTTTGAGCAGCAGGTTCCATGGCTCCTGATGCCCCCAATCTAATATCCATTTGGCCAACACTCAGCTATCTAAAATTCACTTTGCTGAGAATCACAAAAAAGATACAGAAAGTTTTGCTGCCTTTGATAGATAACTCTTCATGCTTCTGCCCATATAAACCTGATCAAGGACACTCTGGTGACATCAGCACACAATGGCACTTTGATGTTCATGATTATTGGGAATTACCATAAGAAATTTACAACCAGGGGGGATTCCAACATAAAGATTCAGATTACTGGGTACATGGGGGAACACAATTTGAACACTTAAGTTTAGAACCAAACTGGTAAAAGACAGGAGGCTTTCATTGTTTATCATGCCATGTAGTAGATAATAAAATCAGGCAGGCAAATGCAAGGGGTACCTTTTGGGGTAAGAATTAGATACTGACTTACTCTGAGATTCAGGGTCTTTTAGGATTTACTGACAAATCATATAGCCTTGCTCCCAACCTTCTTCATGGGTAGGTAGGCAGTTTAGAGGTGAGTGTGTTTTTATATGCACACATGTACCCACACAGAGAGGGCAGTCATATCCACATCTAAGTCACATCGGAGTTGCCGGGAGCCAGACATGTCCACCAGGCCTCAGGAGTCCCAGAGAATCATAAAGACAAAATAGACATTCTTCCTCCACCACAGGGGCCAGGGTACTCTCTATTCCTTAGATCACATTAATGATTAAATTGAGCTGGACTATGGTACTTCTCAAAATGATGTGAAAAATTCCCTAGAAGATGAGCCCTAAGAAAATCTTTCAAACATATAATAATTATTAAATTATAATAGTAATTTTTATTCATAAGGCCTGACTAGAGGTTCAATAAATTGAACAGCATAAAGCTAGGAGCGACCAGCCTGGTGCCAATGAGTAAAGAAGCCAGGGACAGCAACAGCTTAATCCTGACTGGTCCTGCCTGCCTTGAGAGCCTGTGAGGAGCAGAAGGCCTGTGGCATCTCTAGGACCGCTTTCTGCAGGACTTGCCCTTACTCTGCTGTGTATCCGTAATGCCCCATGATGAGCAAACAGGCTATGAACATGCTCAGGAAAAAGCCAGGGCACACACCGGCCCCCCTGGTTTCATCCAGTTCCAGCCCAACCTTCTTGTCCATTTTGAGCCAGGCCACCGTGTCCTTGATTGTGTACTGCAGTCCGAAGAACCAGGTCTCCCGCAGCCCCAGGGTCCGGCACACCAAATCGAACAGGTCTTTCCCTTTCCACTTCATCTGTAATATAACAAACCAACAGGGAAGGACGTGTGAGCAACACTCATAACCCGCTTGTCATATCCATGTCTAAGCCACATCTGAGCTGCTGCACTCCCTACCCTCAGATTCCAAACACGGGGAGAGCACAGGATGGCTGATGAGCACAGAATTCCTACAGAATTTTAAAGCTTCCTACATAAAACCGAGCATGGGAAAATACCAATTAGAGCTTAATGGCTTAATCACTGCAAAGCATACACAATACCTCCCTTGGACAGTTCCTTCCAGGTCTTAATATCCCCAAAGCTGCTAATTCAGGAAAGCTGGTAAATAAGCATTCTCATTTAGGAGAGTCTAGCTTAACTCTTAACTTCTCCCTGAGTTAACCCAGGGAGATGGCTAGCTTCTAGGGACATTAATGTCCATGAGATTTTGTCACTGATTTTTTAAAAATCATGACTCTGCCCTTTGATCAAAGGCTAGTGTTTCCAAAATTTTTGTAAATGTAAAAACGAGTTGTAGAAATTCTTTAAAAAAGCAATATAGGGAAGAAAGTTGTAACAAAACTCATAAATTGTAGAGGAAAAGAACTTTTAGAGATCAGTGGATCCAATCACAGGTCTTCCCTGTCAAGATGCATAACTGAGGCCAAAGGGGAGGCAACTTGCCCACAGTCATATGGAGCAATTACAGACTCTCGCTATCTAACCCCAGGGGATGAATGGACACCAGTATACTGTAGTGTGCTTACCCTATACATATAGCCTCACTTTCAAAAGGACCTGAAGCGATGGCTACTAAACCCTTTTCTTGGCTATTCAATCTTGTATCTGGAAAAGCAAGGTCCACACCTTAATAGGGGAAGAAAATGTCCAGCAGCTTAGTAAACATCGCCACCTTGTGGCTTCCAGCTCAGATCACTTCGGATGGTCCCATTCTACCCCTTAGCTCCTGCTTGTCCCCCAGCCCAAGGGCCCCCAAGTATCGGGTGGACATTCAAATGGATAATTAGGGGTACATGAGAAGCACCATGGAGACTGCGGTCATAGTTAAGAACAATCTTCAGATTCAAATACAAGATCGGCAAACACCAAAAGAGCAAGCAAGACCGCTTCAATGCAGAAGTATCTGTCCTGCCCTCGTTAGCAATCCCCACCCAGTGTCCTGGCACACTGAAGATGCATACTGAGAAGGAAAGGGAGAGAAAATTAGGGTTTACAGACTTGTTATAAAAGCGAGAAGGAAAAAGTAACTTAGACTTCTAATGGCTGATGGGCTTTTGCTAAAACCCAATTCCACAGAGGATTTTTCAAGTAGGCCTTCCATTTTTTACATATGTGAATGAGCAGTGTGTTCTCTATGAAGTACTCCACAGGAGAGCCCATCCCTTCTCTGTGTCTGCAGTCAAGGTCAAAGAGCAAAGGAGCCACCGAGATGGAAGGACACCAAAACCACCGAGACAAGGGTTGAGATTTGTACTGGCTTTTGTCCTTCACCAGTTCTCTTATGTGTCCTTCCAGCTCTGCCCTGTCCTCTCTCCGTGACTTTACTGGGGCCCCTGGAACACTATAGAATTTGAGGTCTTTAGAAATTATTATGAGCAGAATAAAACAAAATTACAAATTTTATTTTAAAAAGATGATCTCCTTGCCCATTTGCAAACTTAATAATGCTTGTTGGCACACCCATTTCCTAGCCTGATAACAAGACAAAGGGTTTATTAATTCAAGGCAGGTTTTAATTCCTACAGAAGAAATGTTATTTTGGAAAACTAGAAGCTTCAGGATGCTGATTATCCTCTTGTCTCTATTTTAAGCCAGTACATAGTATATAAATTATAAATGACTACCTTGCTACAAGATAATGTAACACTAAAGAACAGACATTAACTTGGAGAAGTTAAACACCCAAGGGCCAAGCAGATCAAGGTAACGATTCCCAATCTGTCATAACTCACAGCCATGGCAGGGCTGGGCTATGGCACGGAGGGGCTGTCTGCAAGTGGGATGTGCAGTGCATCTAAACAAAAGATGCAAGGAGAATGATGACTGGATTTCCTGACCTGGGAGTTTAAATTCTCAAACATAATATTGTATTAATGCAGATTTCCTGTATTCCTTTCTACTTCTCTGTTTTTAAAATGCAAAACTATCTCTGTTGAATGCACAGACAATGCTTTTGTTCCCATGAAGCCTGCAATACAGTGAGGAGGGGGGAGAATTCTCACACCAATTCAGAATGCCCTACTTAGATTTTTAACTTCGACTCTAACAATCACAGAATGTCAGAGTTAGAAATGAGCCTGAGTAATTACCCACTGTAGACCCATCCCCTTTTTTGTACCAACAGTCTCAGGCAGGCAAAGCCCCAGTTCCTCTTCTCCTGCTCTGTGGGGCTCCTTTTGTCTGGCTTGCCAGCAGCACTCTCCTGCCACTCTTTCCGGGAACTAACTGGTGTCCTAATACTCTTCTCCCACCCTGAAATAAAACCCATTCTATTCAAGGAAGAGTCAGACAGCACTCCTTTACAGCTCAATGTGAATTCAAGCCTCTGCTACCTCTCATTATTTTCTTTCAACAGGCATTAGAGAGCACAAGCAATGTTAGACACCGAGGATGCCAAACGGAGAAAGCACGGTCCCCGCAAGTGAGTCAAGCAAGGACCCGGGTCAGAAAAAGCCTTTAGAGAACAATGAAGAAAGAAAGGAAATGCATCTTTTTTAAAAGTCACCATCTCTCCAGGGAACTGCAAGTCATCTGGTTGTGCTGACACAGCCTGAACTCAGGAGAGGGTGTGGTGGGAACAGCGTGTGAGCTGGGGCCAGGTGGCTTGCCACCATGTCTTTGAAGACTTGAGCAGAGAAGTGATAGGGTCAGATCTGCATTCTGCTCTGACAACAGACAGCGTGGAGAACAGGCTGGAGGAAAGGAGCCTAGAATTGAGGACAGAAAGGAGGCAACTCCGTGCCTTAAGGAAGGCAGCAGGAGGGAGGGAAGCCAGCCTGAGAGGTGGCAAGGAGGCAGAGTGACAGACCTGGTGCCTGCACGCAGGTGGGGACTGAAGGAGAAAGAACGAAGAGGGGCGCCCACTGGAGACAGGGAACACGAAGAGGCAACTGTCAGGAGGAACGGAGGCACAGTTAAGTTCTAGACGGGACAAGTGAAGGTGCCTGAGGAAACCAGGAAGACATGTCCTCCATGCATCTGATGCAAAGTCTGTGCTCCATTAATAAAATAAAATGTTCTATCTTTAAGAAGTGTTTCTTTTGGGTTCAGTCTGACTCAAATATGTTTACCAACATGAAGTTGTACTTTTCAACATGATCCTGCCCCAGTGCATGAGGCTTGCTTACTCCTCCCGATGAGGGTTTCTACTTCCTTACAAACAAATAAGAACCATGGTCACAGCTGCTCTGGTGGTTCTCAGGGCACCCTGTGAAGGGAGGTCTTGGGCTGGGAACACGGCTCCCTTGGTACTGGCCAACTTGCCAGAAGATGGCCACACTTGTCTTCAGAATTTTATCAGTGATCCACTACATTGTGGTGAGGCTGTAAGGTGATCTAAGGAACCGAATGTCTCTCTAGATTGTAGGCACCTTAGAACCCGAGCAATAGCCACCTCTCTACCCGCCATGGTGCCTGGCCAAGTATGAACATACCAGACACAGCAAACAATGGCCATCCAACGGAAGACTTGAGTACTTCAAAAACCCAATTCAAACACTTAAAGCAAAATTAACCCCCATTCATCCATTCCTTCAACAAATACTTAGTGGACACACATTGTGTCCAAGCCCCCACCTGAGGTTCTGTTCTCACAGAAAAAGTCTAGGGCATGAACCAGTCAGGAACAGATAATCACCTTCCTCACCTCACACTAAAAACCACCTCCAGCTGTGGTTTCAGCACGCTAACACTGGTGAGTGCCACAACAGGGGCCCCCAGGGGCTGTAGAGTCCCCCAGGAAGAGGCCCTCTATCTTGGAGGGGTGGGAAGTGGCATCTAAATGGACTCTCATGGTGGGAAAGATGAGCCAAGTGAGGACTGGGCTTTGGGAAGGAGGAGTAAGTGGGGAAGTGTGTTCCGGGCAGGGGGAACAGCATGTGCAAAGGTCTAGAGGCAAAAAGCTTATATGGTCCTTGTAGAAAATCAAAGTTTTATAGTTCAGTTTGACCGGAGAATACAATTGTGTTTCGAAAAGGACCAAACTACCATCTCAAACCAATTCTTTATCAATAACTGCACCTCTGTCATGTGAACCACAGAACACAGAAATTATCTGGGTGACTTTTTTCTCCTTTTTCCCAAGGTTGGAATATAACTAGTAAATTCTAGGCATACAGGAGAGAAGTTAAATCATTACATAAGAATGGATGCCTCAGGACAGTGGGGCTTAATTCTTTCCAGGAACCAGCCTAAAAAGCATAGACCAGTGATGGTTACCTAACATCAGTATGAATCTCAGCACTGTCATTGTGTGACCTTGAGCAAGTCATTGAACTTCCTTGTACTTTGCAATGGAGATAATAAACAGAAGCTACCTTAGCAAACTGATCTAAGGATTAAAGGCATTACTACATTTAAAAAGTCTAAAATGGGGTCTGGCCCACAGTAAACACTCAATAACGGGCAGCTATTATTCATTCTAACCCTGCCTCCTCTCCTTATACTGCAAGTGGCACTGTTCAAAGCCTCCTGGTTCTGTTTCAGTCATGGACGATGGATGACCGAGCAGAAAGGACACCATCAATTCTCATCGAGCTAACCATGCTATCACTCATTTGACAAACATTTATTGAGCACCCACAACATCCTAGTCATTGTGCTCAGCACAAGAGATAAATGATGAATTCAGGACAAGACACTGTCCCTACTCATGTCTGACAGGGAAGACAGGTAAATGGATAATGCAAATGCAACCTGGTAAATGCTAACGGAACACAACTCGGGGCCAAGGAACTACACTGAGGAGACACTGTCTGAGCTGGGTCAGGAAAGCTGGTCGTCTGAAGGGGCTGA